ATGTATAAATCCTGGCAATCCTCCTGGCACTTAACAGCGTACACTATGTTACTCTGTTTGTGTCACGATCCAGCGTGTTTTGGGGTTTAAAAGCCACAGAGACCCGGTGTTTAGAAAAAATGCGTCTCAAATGCTCTGATACTCCTGACACATATGGGATCACTACAGGTTTTCACTTGGGCAGTGGTTGTCCTTCTCTCCTGGATCGGCTGGAGCTTTCTTTAGGTGCCTTTCCAGCTTTGACAAAAGTCCAGCTGGGATAACCACATTTACTCAGGGCCTTCTTGATGTGATGTTCTTCTGCCTCCCTGGCCGCTGTGTCAGTAGGGATGGTGTTCGCTCTGTGTTGTAGCGTCCTGATGACACCCAGTTTGTGCTCCAGTGGATGATGAGAGTCAAACCTTAGATACCGATCCATATGTGTAGGTTTACGGTACACGTCAGCTTTTAGATGTCCCCCATTACTGAGGGAAATCTCACAGTCTAAGAAGGCTAACCTGCCACTTTTCATATCCTCCCTGGTGAATTTGATGTGTCGGTCCACCGAGTTAATGTGATCCATGAATTGTGGTACGTCCTGAGATTTGATTCTAACCCAGGTGTCATCCACATATCTGAACCAATGGCTTGGTGGTGTTCCAGGGTAGGATAGCAAAGCCCTCTTTTCCACTTCTTCCATGTATAAATTGGCCACGATGGGTGAAACTGGGGAGCCCATGGCACACCCATGTTTCTGCCTGTAGAACTGACCCTTGTATGTGAAGTAGGTGGAATGAAGACACAGTTCCAAAAGCAAACACACTTGGTCGATGCTGAGAGTGGTCCTGTTGCTGAGGTTGGTGTCATCCTGTAAGCTCTTACGGACTACCTCCAACGCTTCCGTGACTGGGATGCAAGTGAAGAGAGATGTAACGTCGTACGAGACCATGGTTTCATCTGCCTCCATAATGACATCTCTCACCTGTGTTCTGGATGTGGTGTTCAGAGCTGCCCACCAGCTTGACGATCGAAGCCAGAAACTTGGAGATGTTATAGGTGACAGAGTTGATCATCCAGACAATCGGTCTTAAAGGTGCACCCTGCTTATGTATTTTCGGTAAACCATACAGACTTGGTGTAGACTCCCCTGGGTACAGCCTGTGGTATGAGGTCCGGTCAATAGCCTTGTCTGCTTTGCACTGGTGTTTAAATATTCTAAGCTTTCTTTAAATCTCTCTCTCTCTCACACACACACACACACACACACATACACACTTCTTAAAGAATGTGATCAGAGGACTGACTGTTAAAATGCCAGTGCATTAGGCACCACATGGAAATATTTAATAAAAAAAAAAAAAAGGAGAACATGAAGTGAAGGGAAGTGTTTAGGGAAACAAAATTAATCAGATAATTATTTGGCAGTTACCTCATATTCTCTGAATACTGGCCCACTGCTTAAACTCTTCTTAATGGCTCTCTTCTACAATCCCTTCCTCTTTTACTATCCATTCTTCCTATTACCCTTCATTTCTTTATTGCTCTTCCCTTCTCCCCCCATACCTGTTCTGGTAGCTGAAGTATGCAGCGTCTCGGGGGATAGTGCACAGCTGCTTTCCATAGCAGCACAACGTCTGAGGAGAGAACTCCAGCTGATGGAGAGAAGCAAAGAAAAATGATAAACAACTTGTTAACCTCTTGACCATCAACAACTGAATCTTTAGCCACTCAGCATCATGTGAATGAGGCAAACTCATCAGTGCCCTCTCACTGGTATAGCCTACGATACTTATAAAAGTAATGAAATAAACTCCCGGAGTCTTACTTTTATGTCCCTCGACCTGTATGTGGGGAGCTCCATCTAGGCAGCTATTCCATCTATGTCATACGATTAGCATTGAAGCTGCTGGATAGTGCTACTTCAGTCAAGTGCAACGTTAAATTGCACCACACCCCCGCACTCTTGCTGGGACAGCTGCCCGAGTTAACAACCCCACACCACACAACAGTACTATTATCAACTCTAAGCACTTCTTAAAACTGACCTTCAGTTTAATCACACTGTGACAGTGGCAAAGATATATACACAATTTCAAGAAAAATGTTTGTACTTGACTTGAGGAACCAGAAACAAAACCTGAACCTGAAAAAAAAACTCACAGGAGACAACATTTCCCAAGTTCTGTTTAGGTTTTTATTTTATCTGAGAAAAAAACTTTACTGATTAAGTCAAGTTCTACTTCGATTTGTCACACTGTACTAAACCTTCAGCCAGCTTTTAATAATAGAGGGGCAATCAGTTTTGTTATTTGTCTGCAAAACCAAAAATAGCAGAGTCTAATGAGAGCTGAAATGTGATATCGCAGTGGCATGCTCAAGGCCAATTTTAGCTATGAACCCACTTCACTTGCTTCTGTTTTCAGGTCTGAAACATGGTCAAGGAATTCAAACACACATCTTCAACCTGCGTTTTATAAAACCGTAATAATTTTAGACTCCATGGATTGGTTCACGTGTTGAAACAAAACCTCTATAAAGTATAAAAGTGTAAGACTATATCGGCATCACCCCTTAATATTTAGCCAGATACACTAAGCCCTGGTTTACTTAGACTCTGGTTCAAGTTCATTTGTAAATACTTTGATGAGTTAATTGGCCGGGATAATTTGAACCAATGCAAACGTGCACTCAGGTCTTCACACCGTGTCAGGATTGGGCTTCTTCACCTTTGGTGTTGTTACCAACTTAGCACCTTAACTTGAGCAGTGTAAGTGACGTCCTACAATTTGGGAACGAGATATCAATCCAGTGCAATAATAATGCTTTGCTTTTTTTTTTTTCTTTAAATCCGCATACATACTGCAAATTTCAGCACAACAGCTCAGATGAAAAAGAGCCATTTAGGAACACTTAGCTAAACTAAATTAGCTTATTAAAATAAGGGTTAGTTTAATAACCAATAGTTGTTTTATTTATTTTTTTAATAATCGTGTGAGCTCTGGGCTGCTATACAAAACATTTGGGACATTTGTTTGTCTATGTAATGCACTTTCACTAGATTTTCTGGCAGATTGCTTGTGTTTCCACTTACATGCACAATACTTGCCGAACATACAAATGACTCTCAAACCATTACCAAACTCTGTTGAACAGCTCTAACCTATGCAGTGCTGTTGCCAATTTAAGAGTGACCTGTACCCACTCCTATTCCACCTCATCCATTCAGCCAGTTATTCCACACTTTGCCTCACCTTCCTCCCACAACAGTAGCCAAGACTCTGCATCACAGGGTCGATCTCCTGTTCAAAAACCTCAGCCAGCTTGGAGCAGTACTTGTAGACTCGTGAGGTTTTGCGATTGTACAGCCAGGCATTGTTGAACATCAGCCAGATGTCTTCCACGTACTGCCAGGGCTCCTGGTACTGACCTAAAACCAACACACGCAAACCATGATGACTTTCCAATCTAGAAATCAAAAAACTTTTACACTTTTAGTCCTCCCTTCTTAACACATCAACTTCTAACACCCCCAAATCCATGCTTTTTTGTTGTGGTCTACTACGTTTCCATAAATACAGCAGCACATACTAACCTGTGTCTAGCTTTCGCTTGATGGTTGATAAGTCCATTGGGTTCTTCACAATGTCAAAGTAATCCTGGAACATCACAACGACAAAGCAGAGCAGTTAAGCCCTCTACTAAAATTTGTACGAGTTAAAATGCAGATAAAAAGTTCAACTTTTTTGCAAATATGAAACTGAGCAAGTATAAATAATCTAAACCTCAGCAGGGGTACATACAGGTATGCAGAGCAGTTGAGGATCAACAGGCATTCTGAAGGGCAGAGACTCTGGATCTTGTCTGTAGAGAGATTCAAGCGTGGGCATCAGGGCCTGACGAAGCTCCTCCGGTTTGAAGACTGTAAGAATGATGGAGATTAGAGGGCAGAGTGAGATGAAAGGATTAATAAAATATGATTCATTTTCAGCAGGTGTAAAACAGCTGGTAAAAATTTATTTTTGACTTACTCTTCTTTTTCACTGGGGCCTGCGACACGACTGCCTCCGAGTTCTCCTCTTCATCTTTCACCTCTTTCTTCACCTCTTTCTTCACCTCCGGTTTTCTGTCTTCCGTCTTTACTCCTGACCCCTGTGTTGTAGTCGACGTTTCCATAGGAACTCCTTTACCGCCTTCTCCAGAACACTCTTCTTTTTTAAGTTCGGATTTCACAGGTTTTTCCTCCATTTTAAGGTTGCCGAGTTTCCCTCCTTTGGAGCAGCTCCCAGCATCGCTCTCGTCCTCCTCATCCTGATGTTTGACCTCCATCTTCGTGTCCACATTGGTGGCTGAAGTGTCTGACGCCGGTTGCTGGGACGAGGTGTCTAGACTGCTGACAGAAGCTGGGGTCGGGGCCTGACTGTCGGCTGGGAACGAGCCCTTCTGGGATAACTGAAGAGAGATGCACAAATTAAATGCATACAAGTAGTAAATATGCAAGTGATACACGACAGGGGAACATGCAAGTAAAACTGAACAAACTGCTCATAGTTTGGTGTTACATTAACAGAAAGGGCAATGCGACATCGCTTAATCCTTCTGGCAGTTGCTTGGAGCATCAAATCTGTAAAAAAACTTTGATGAACTGTGTAAATTTACCTTTGAGGCAAAGCATGCCCACAGCAAATCACTGATATTATGATGATCTGATTCAGATATTTGTGCTATTATTTATAAAGTATTTTCTCTTTAAAAGTATTTTATTGTTGTCTAAAACTTTTCAAACTTAAAAGACCTGATTTAAAAAATATATTTTTTAAAGTTTCTCATGAATTAAAAATAAATGCCAGTTTTCAAAAAAGGGACACTGACCGGAGTACGTGGCAGCTGACTGCCATGCGGTGTTGAACTGGAGGCCATTCCAGGATGAGATGGAGTGGTTGAACCAGCAGGCCCCATGTGTTGCTGCTGGAGGGGCTTGTTGGAGCCAGGACCCTGACCAAGCTGGTTCTGCTGAGGAGCTGGGGGTGGCACCAAATGTGATGCATTAGGGGTGTGTGGTTGTGGCGTCTGCGACCCAGCAAGCCTGGGGGGCGTCTGGTGGGGAGTAGGTGATCGGCTGTGAGCAGGAGAGGGTGAGCTGCCACGCATGGCCCCCAAATGAGGGTTGGAGTTGGGTTGCTGGTTTGTGTTAGATGGAGTCATTGATGAGGCAGGGGCTCCGACAGCTGAGTTGGGACCTCCACCACCCACGCTTTGAGGCCCCATTGGCCCTACTGGAGGGACCCCACTGGGAGTGCCAGCTGAACCCGGCTGTGCTAGAGGACTCGCAACTGAGAGGGGGGGAGGAGTGCCCATCTGCGTCTGACGACAGAGGTAGAGTTGGTTAAGAGACAGAAAATGTTGTTCTTTGGGTAACCTAAGAATGTATGTAATGAGATCACATCAGGATCCTTTATATTCTATCCATGTTTCTTAACATCACGCTATAGGGAAATTGTAACAATACTGCCCGAGGATGGCAAGAATGAAGAGGTTACTCATCTTCTACGTTTACATTTTACCGCATAAAGTTTTATATTAACCCAGAATATTGCAGGTCTATCTGATGATCCAGGAATTATTGAAGTGTGTTTTCTCTTCTTCAGGTTTAAATTTTAGTTTGCTACATTTTAAATGGGGATGCACCAATCCGGTTTAGATATCTGCCAGTACAGAGTATCAGTGCTTATGTTAGTTTAAAGTTAGTGTGCATAAATTTCACTGTTAGATGTCAGTAGACTGGATTGCAGATTTGAGTTAACACCCCCTCGAATTCAAGTGCACTAGCTACAGTGGCTCCTTCAGGTAAAACATGTTTAAATTAGCCAAGAGATCAAAAACAATAAAAACGCCCGCTCACTATGACTTTACACTCCATGTCTCATTGATGCTGAGATGAATTAATGAGGGTAAGTTGAACTGCTGATAAGCGCTGCTGTTTTAGCATCTGTTAGCTGGCTTTAGATCCACTTCAAAAGACAGTTTCACTAACATTCTTGGAATCAGTTACTTGACAGTCCACATTAGCTGTCACAATGTTAGCGTATAACCAGCTGTCGACATTGTTTAGCTGGCTCCTTGTCAGCTGTTCTGAGATGGGAGGGTCATGTGTCTAATCTGCTGACATTAATTACTGTGACGATATCTGGAATAAATAAGCATGTTTATGCATGTTTTCCTGTGTCAGAGACCTGACTTCAGTTCAGGAGATAAAGCTTAAGATGTTAAGAAAGAAGATAACATTTTGTGAAGATGTCAGTGGCATTCTCTTTCCTTTGTTGGTGAAGGTTATGTCTTACAACTGGAGAAAGCCTATGTATGAAAATACATATCTAGTGTCTTCTCCTTCAGACAAATTTAAATCAGAGGTGGGCGGTATAAACTGTATACGATATAAATAAACGATATAAACGATATAAATTTGGCCAACGGTAGAGATTTTGACTATACCATTCTACCACGATAGCGCATGTTGATGGTGTCATCAATCTGCACCTGTTTTGGGTTGAAAGCATTGCAGCGGCTGCAAACAACATAATCTGCAAATTATGCCAACAGTAATAGCAAAGAAACGAAGCACTTTTGGAATATGGGGAAAGCCAAAAACGGCGCTTCCTCCACTTCCATACCATTGATTCATTAATGCTGAATTCTCTCGCAACTGCTCTATTCCCATGTTGTTGCAGTATATTAATGACTATCCTTGTATTGTGGATGGATTATCTCAGTTGTTCTCCTGACTGAAGTTTGGCCCGTGTATAGCATCCTGCCATGCAATTGCATTTGTCCCTAACCACCAGAATCCCTCACGTTAACTTTTATCAAGTGGAAAAGTGTTAGCGTTCATCCTTCAGCTTCACTGTGCTAATATTATGCTAACGTAGCTGTTTTGCTAGCGATCACGTAGCACATCATTATATACCAGCTAGTCCAACTTCAGTAACCCTACAAACGTCACTGCTGTTTAGTTTTCTGTCTTCATTTATGTTGGAAGTGGTAGCAGAGCAGTACGTTTTAATTTTTTCAGAAATCTCTCAGTCAGAACATGCTATATCATGTTTAGGTGGAAACTAGCGAGCTGACTTCCTGCTAACTTCTAACTCCGCTGAATTTAATAAATTCTGTTTTCATGGATGCCTGGATGTTAAACTTAATTGTTACACCTGGTAAAGCTGCAACGCTGATCATTTTATTAAAGATGAAAGAATTTAGACAGTTTTTAACTCTCAGTGATGCCGCAGTGGGACCTGAAGCAGACGGAGTTTTGGACCCAGATTACTCCGAAAGGCTCCTGACTATGGCAGCAGTAATGCTCCGGCAATCCATCAAGCGGTGCGCCTTCATAGCTTACCAAAGTCGTACTAAAACATTTTTTGACAGATTTCCGCACGCTGTGTACCACATAAAATCAGTTTGAGGTCAGTAAGCACAACCAGAATTCACACATAAGGCGCACTGTCGATTTTTGAGAAAATTAAAGGATTTTAAGTGTGCCTTATAGCATGTAAAATACGTTATACAGAAGAAAAGAATATATCATGATATATATCGTGATATATATCGTTACCACACATGCTTCAAACTATACCGTGATATGGATTTTAGGCCATATCGTCCAGCCCTAATTTAAATGCCCCTCCGACATGACTTGTTCTTGTACTACTTGTTCTTTTCTCATCTACCTTTGACATACTACGTATGTGGCTGGTCTCTAGCCAATTGTGACACATGATTAGTCGGAAGCGAGATGTCCTTCTAGCCACTGCATTCAAATATGGTAGGGAAATATGACGGCTTCTACAAACCAGTGGCCACTCCTATGTATTTTTTAATGCATTAATATATAGTTTACAAAAATCAATTAGTTGTAAGACATAATTACACATTAATTAATGTATATTTAGATTACTCATTTTCCCACTAGCATCTACTTGAATCGGGTCGGCTTGACGCAACTCGAGGCAGCACGACTCGTTTTCCATAACATTCAAGTACCACCAAATGCGTGTAGGGTCATTTAGGAACATGGTCAAATGTCCTGTGCTGTCATTTATATGCAACACAAACACCAAAACAAAGGTGGATGTAATGGCAATGGTATACCTGCTCTCGGTTTGTGACTTTTCGTCAGACTCAGGGACAACAGTGTTGTTTCTGTGCAGCCATTTCCCTCCATGCCAGTTTTCAAAATTGGCAGTTTTCATTTTAATAAAGGAGACGCTCTCACGACTCATCGAGTGTCACTGACTAGTCAATCGGTAGTATGCAGTCTGTTGCCATGACATTTTTGGTTTGCCTTGGAACCCACAGTCGAGTAGCTACTAAAAAGTACCTGGTACCAGGTACTATGACCTAATGGAAAACCCTAAAAACCATGTTGAGGCGTGCCAAGCTGACCCGAGTTCTAGTTACAGAAGTTTCAGAGGTATATCCCTCAAAACTAAATGCAAGAAAGTTGCATAAAATAGTTTTCAACCATAGGAAATTTGAGTGTCTTCATAGTTTCACCTTTAAGATGCACTAGTTTTTGTAAACTGCAGGAAAAACAAAATTAAATACTGTTGTGCACAATTGCCAAAAAAAACCCAAACAAACAAAAAAAAACAAAACATGTGCATCAAATTAACTATTTCCAATAGTGCAATTTAATTTATATGCATTCCAGAAACTACACATAAAGACATAAAGTAAAAACACCAGTAAACTTTTGAAAGGCCCTGTAGAGTAAAGACTACGTTTCCTATGAAAAATGACGTCACTTCCAGTTTTTGCAAGTAATGGCGGACATGCGATAGTTCGCACTGACGTTTAGTCCAACGTAGGAAGTGCTATGAACAGATGTTCAGATCGGCAAAGCGTGTTTCTGGATTATAATGTTTTTGTCGTTGCCAGCGCTTTTTACGTGATTTTTGCAAAGCCATTTGTGGAAGGAAACCATGACCTGGGACAA